ATACGTTAAAGTTCAAGTCAGCTATGCAAAAACAGGGGACTGGTCACTGAGGACACCTGCTGTCTTTTTTGCAATACTGCAGAAAGGCACAGTCTGCATGCTGCTGTGATGCAGGAACATTTTTTAACTAAGCTTGTCGCTGCCTTGGCAACTTTAATTGCTCTTAAAAGCATTTGACATGCAAAACTCTGAACTCAGCTGTGCTGCAGTGCTTCCTGTTGTTTATATTTTCACCACACTCAGTAGGGGCAAAAAGTGCCATGAGCATGTTACATTGATCAACATGTGTGTATCATGAAGTGATATGAGAATGTGTATACTATTACAACTGCGCATCACTTGCAGCTACAGCAATGGCAGTAAAAGTGAACATCTGGGACTGAGTCGGAGGGATATCATTCCCATCATTCCTTTTTCAGAAACACAAATAGTTTTCGAGTATTAGATGCGTATGACCATAAGGATTGTAAGTGGTTTACCATCAGCTATAGTGTTACAGCTAAATGGGCAAAAGCTTGAGATTTCATTTCATTTTTAAAATAACAACTTTAAAGGTCAAAAAAGTTCTGATGGTAAAATATTACACTAACTTTATAAATGACAATTTCTTAGATCTCATGGCCGTAGACTGCCATTCTTAATGATTGATGGAAACACAAAAGATGATATTGAATTATCTGCATTGTTGAAAATGTTTATGTTAAAGGACTCTTTTTGTTCGTTTCTTGTTGTTGTTGTTGTTCTTGTGAACTGGACACACCGTGTGACTGAGACCTATTCTCTGAACTTCTGCCTGATAAACGTGGATTGATCAATTCTTTCAGGTTAACCAGCATTGAAGGGGGTCTGGTTTAAGTTTTTAAGAATGAATTTTCTAGCTGCCTATTTTCCCCAGTAACAATCTTTAAATCCCAACAGAAAACATTTTCTTTTCATTTGTTTTTTCAGCTTCAGACTAACTTTAATTTACTGCCATTTTTCTCCCCCCACATGGAGGTAGTTTGTAATCAGTTCCCATATTTTGTTGGTCTGTCTGTTTGTTAGCAGTCAAGTGTCCACACTTTTGAAGATATAATTTTCCAATTTTGCATGGTTTATTACCCACAATCTTTGGGGTGAATCATCTTCAAACTTCACAGCAATATAGGCCTTGGGGGACCTGAGGACCTAACTATACTAAACATTTTACCATGACCTCTTCAGCAGCTGGAAACTTATATCAGGCAAGAATGGGACCAAATTCCAACACCAAACCTCCAGGAACTCATAATCTTGATGTGCAGAAACAGTTTTGAAAAGAAGAGGAAATACAAAACATTTCCCCGTCCCAACTATTTTTTTCCCTGTAGCAAGCATCAAATTTGAAATGAGCTCACTTTGTGCATAAAATTGCAAGATTTCACAGTTTAAACATTTGTTGTGTTATATACTTTCCTTTTTCAATAAGATGCTGGCTCATGTGATTTGAAAGTCTTTTAGTTTTCATTTTGTTCATTTTGTTCAAAAGAATGTCCCGGTTTTTGTGAAATTTGTGTTGAATGCTGCACTTTGGTCAATGCCGGTCGTGTTTTTTAAATCAGCTACATAAACTGACTTGAACTGAATTCATGATGATCATTGGTGGATTTTCCCTGCCAGTTGTCTTTGTCGCGAGTCTGTTGAATATTTCAGAAAAAAAGGGGTCGCACAAAAGCAACTATTTTATCTTAATAAATCAATTTTTCAACTTTTTGAAAAATAAAGTAAAAGTATTTTTCACTTAAAGTTACATCTGAACAGTTTTGCTAAATCTTGGAACCCATGAGGCTATGGGTCTATAGCTTTGCTCTTTTACTTTCTCCTTTCTCTCTTTAAAACTTTAAGACACAGAGGAACAGAGCCTTTTACTCCACTGGTTGTACTTTGTGTGTTTATTTAACTTTTTTCTCATGATTCCCATTTACTAACATTAGAAACAAATTAGATTAGGCCACATTCACTCATCATTATTTATCAGAATAGAATAGAATAGAATAGCCCTTTATTGTCATTGTACATGTACAGTGTTTGTGGAAAATTTAACAATAACCTGCAACACACCCAGTGAGCTTGATTTAAAGTGTGTTTAATGAACACATTGTATTGCACAGAGAGAATTATGACCTTGTTTTCTGCTTGGCCGTCACCTAAGGATTCACATCCCTGATAAGCAGAAGGAGTCCCACTATCTGTTTAACGTCTCCCATTACAATGGCCTCACTGTGTTAACATTACACATGCATGCAAACTAGTGACAGGAGTGTAAGTGAGTAAGTGATATTACTATAACTAATGTGATATGAGATGATGAGATGAGATAGCCTTTATTTGTCAGTTGCAGGTCTTTTGCCCACAACCGAAATGACAGACCTTGCCGACCGTACATACAATACACAAACATCACATTGGGGAGACAGGTCAGGCTAGGTAGCGAGGAAAAAATCATTGAAATGTGTAACACAAAAGGATAATACAGGAATGCACAGATATCAACACACCATAGCACAATAAACACAGACAAGCAACATGGAAAAGAGTTCCAGTGTGTACATCTGATCTGGGACCGCTGCAATCTTTCAACTGCGCCTCCAACTGACCCGATGTCCACATCAGGGGTATGATTAGATATGTGATTAATACACAAGAAAAGAAATCTGACACCACAACAGCGAAATTATGGGTGCTCCACGGCAGCTGTGCAGGAGAAAAAAATAGTAAAGACATCAACAAAATGGACAGCAAATAAAAAAAAGAGAAAGGCACACAATGGAGAGCAAAGTGCTTGGAAGCAGTGCAAAAGGACTTGGTGAGGTGGGTGGGAAAGGGTGGGATTGTGGGGGCATAGTGTTTGTTTAAGGTTTGAATGGCCCAGGGGAAGAAGCTGTTAGTTTGTCTGGAGATGTCGGTGCCTCAGAGACACAAACAGGTGGTGGGTCAGGTGCAAGGGGCTCATCTTTGATGGTCCTGGTTTTTCTGAGACAGGAGGATCTGGCGATGGCCTCCAGGGGTGGCAGAGGGCAGCCAATGATTTTTGGGGCGGTATTAATTACAGCCTTCCTGTTCTCAATTGTGCCCACTGTGTACCAAACACCCAGGCAGTAGGAGAGCATGCTCTCTCTCAATAATGAGAGTGGAGTGGACCTGTCTGTGCCTCATGAAGTCCATTATGAGTTCTTTTAAGGACATTCAGCTTCCGGTTATGAGCACAAGCGGGACACGTTCTCTCCATCCTGTCCGCTGTCTCATCTCCAACAGAGAAGAGTCCAACCATTGTGGTGTCATAGGCATACTTGATAAAGACGTTGGTTGGATGGGTTGGTGTACAGTCATATGTGTACAGGGCGTACAGCAGGGGGCTGAGAACGCAGCCCTGAGGGGATCCGGTGCTGAGTGACAGTGAGGGGAGAGGTGGGGCCGAGTTGGACTGACTTAGACCGGTTTGCAAGCAAAACTTTGATCCAGGACCGGTGGCAGGGAGGATCTGAAGGTGGTCCAATTTGGCAGTGAGGATTTCTGGTATTATGGTGTTGAACGCTGAGCTGTGATCCATAATAAGCATCCTCGTGTAGCTCTTCCTGCTCTCCAGATAACTCAGCTCTCTGTGAGGGGTGATGGTGATGGCATTCTCTGTGGATCGATTTGGTCTGTAAGCAAACTGGTGGGAGTTGAGGGACGCGGGGTAGACAGTCTCTGATGTGCAGAGACACTATGTGCTCGAAACACTTCGTGATTACGGACGTGAGGGCTATAGGCCTGTAGTCATTGAGGCTGTCTATGTCAGTCCAGTCTTTCTTGGGGATGGGAAATGGTAATTGATTAGGTAGTAGAATGTGGGGGCAGAAAAGAATAAATATCACTGATCACAGAGAGACAGACAGAAAAAAAATACTCTCACTTCTACACATAACCCCTAATTTAGACCCTTCAATCAACTTAACCTTTCTGTCTGTGTACTGTGAGGGAAACAGGAGAAACCTCAGAAAACTCATGCAAATGCAGGCCGCTTCACTGGTATGCAATGATCACACTAGAATACCTGCAAGATTGGTACAAACATCAATAAAACTAGCATTAATCAAATAACTAAAAACATATAGTGTCACAGTAGAATTTGAGTTGTGAAGGAAAGCATCTTTAAGAACAAAGTCAAAGGTGACAACAGGAGAGTACAACAACAGGGCCATTTGAATTGTATTTGAAAGTGTGTAGAGTTGCTATTGGTCAACTGGATGTTGAGGTGTGTGTAGGTGGCACTGATCACACAGTTGGTTGCTATAAAAGCAGGGTGATTGCTGTTCAGCAGCCACGGATCACATCATAAACTGACTGACAGCAAATACAATCTCTGAAAACTGATCTGTGTGGCTTGTTGTCCAAACAGGAGCAGATATGGGGAAAAGCAACTTTGAACTGGCACTTTGCCTCGTACTAATGGCTGCCTGTGGCTTAAAAGGAAACATTAAATGTGACACACACATTTTTATTGGGAAAAAGAACTGGACACAAGCAAGACTATTCTGCCAGAGACATTATGTTGACTTGGCTACTTGGGACATGATAAATATGAATGTTATTATACCATTTTTGGTCCAAATAAATATCCCAAACATTTGGATTGGTCTACTCAGAGATCCTGAAGATGACTCACTCTGGAAGTCTATAAATCTAAGGTGAGTATCTTTTTTGCAATGACCTTTATGTCAATATCCATGTCTGTTTATGTAAATATGACAAAACTGAGTTGCTGATTTTGAGATGATTGTTGTGTTGATTTCAGAACAGGTGAAGGTGTCTCAGGCAATGACCTCTCACATACCAGCAAATGGGCCTCTGCACAGCAGGACTACTGTGCAGTTGTAGGAGATGACCTCATGTGGTACAGTGCACAATGTTCAAGTATCAATAATGTCTACTGTTCCCAAGGTGATGTAATCCAGTATCACAGTGTTATGCTCAGTTGGTATGACGCTGTAAAGTACTGTATGGAAAACTATGGTTACCTAGCCACTGTCACCCAGGTAAACTCAGGTGATGTTGACAAACGGGGCTGGATTGGACTGTATCGAGTGGGAGGGAAGACCTGGAACTGGACGGGTAGTTTAGCATCTAGCTACAGAAACTGGGCACCAGGACAGCCACTCACTGCAGACTGTGGCTCTTTGCATGCTTTTACCGGAGGCTGGGTAGGCTATGCTTGCTCTGAAAGGTTTTACCCTTTTTGTTTTGTTGACAACCTGGTGGTGGTGAATGAGAACAAGACATGGGAGGACGCCTTGATTCACTGCAGAGAGATGAAAGCATCATGTGCTGGCTGTATGTACGACCTCCTGAGCCTGACCGATGTCTCTCAGTACAAATATGTCAGAGACAGGATCTACAGAGCAACCACTGATGAGGTTTGAGTTGATTATTTTTGAATTATAGCTGTTCTTCTAAATGCATCACTTGTTCATAGATTCTGCATTAAACACCAGAGGAGTTCACGTTCAAGTGGCTTTAGTCTTTCTACTAGTTCAGTGCTTTAAGGCTGTGGAGATGTCCTTTCATGTCCAATGTGTTGAAAATGTATACTCTAGAAAAGAAGTGCATGTAAAAATATATATATATTTTAATTTTTTTTTTTAAAACAGGATCAATATTCATTTCAGAAAAAGCTTCACTAAAGCCTTAGTAATCAGCATTTGTGTCTGGCTTAATTTGCAAATACAAATTTTTTTGTCAGTAATTGATTGATTTGCCAGTTTATTTGCATTTTTCAGCTTTCTCAGAAAACTACCAACACTTCCACAGCCAGGACTGACTCTCCCAGTTTTGTCCTGTGTTTCTCAGGCTTGGATTGGCTTGCGTTTCCTGGGAGGAAAATGGTTTTGGTTAAATGGAGACAAACCAGGTCCCAAAGATATGCTGCCGGACTGTCCGTCCAACTGGGAACACTGTGGGACTTTGTCCAAGTTTGACACAAACAGCACGTGGATGATCAGGGACTGCGCAGACAGAAGAAACTTTGTCTGCATTCAAGTGACCCCAAAGTGAATGAAACTGGCAGCTTAACATCAAATGCTACAATAATGCTTGTTCTATCAGTTCTTTAGCATATATATAATTAGTGTATACCTCCAAGTTTGATTCTAATATCATTAATCCTTTCATTGTAACACATTTTATGCAATATAACTGTAACAATCTCTGAAAACAATGGTGTACTCTGAGGTTGTAGATACTTTGAAATGAAAAGTGCAGATGATGTTTCACTTGTTGTGTTTAAACTTCTGCATCCAGCATATAAATTGTTTTGGTTTGCCTTGCTTTTCATTTATAATTAATTTTTCATTAACATGAAATCATGACTTGCTGCTGCTACAGTGATGCAGGCTCCTATAATGTTGGCTCTGTTAAGGTTATTGTTAGGGATGCACCGATACCGATACTGGTATCGGGTATCGGGGCCGATACTGTAAAATGTGTGCGTACTCATACTCGTAAAAGTTAACCGATACCACGAACCGATACTAACTTATTTCATTAATCAGAGGGTGGCTTGTCATTTCTGTTGTAGTTTTTAAGATTGGCCACTAGGGGGACATCCCGCGCTAAACAGGCACAGGGTTAGGCAAGTGAGACTGGCGGCTCCAGATAAAAAAGAGAAACTAGAGGCTGCTGTAGCTAGACTAAACAAAATGTCAGCAGTGTGGACCGGAACAGCCAACTTTAACTCAGGTTTTGGAAAAGCGATGAAAAATGTCAAGAGAAAATCCACAGGCAGTTAAAATAAAAGAGACTCTGACTCATTTTATCGCTCTGGATGACCAGCCAATGCCGGTCGTGGAAAACATAGGATTGCATCGTCTTCTCAGCATACTCGAGCTGCGATATGAAATTCCCAACCGCCCATACATCAGAGAGATAATGGTGCCAAAACTTTCTGAAGAGGTAAAGACAAGATGTCAGTTCTTGGTTTAACGGCACAGTGGATATTTTGTTAAATTACAATGTGGAGACTTTGCAATAATTTAACAGAAGTGCTTATTTTTCACTTGAAATTTTTTTGTGGTCATTTTTATTATGATTTTATTTTTTATCGGCAGAGAATAAAATAAAATCTGTCTTCCAATTCATTG